TTCTGTAGTAGTCCCGCGTCGTCTCGCGCTTGATGTAGTGTTGCGGGTGGGAGTGGCCGCGGAGGGCGGCGATGGTGGGGCAGAGGAACATGAAGCGGCCGCGGTTGTAGCGCGGCTTGTTCCAGCGGCCGTCGAAGGTCTCGTAGTAGCGCCCGAGCGCCTGCTGCGGCGTGAGGCCCGTCTTGAAGTAGCCCACGTCGATCACCACCCACTTCTGGCCGTCCCAGATCATGTTGAGGTCCTTGAGGTTCTGCACGTAGACGTTCTGGGCCGCCAGCATGTCGAACATCTCGCACAGCCGCCGCCAGGCGAGGTCGTCGAGCGGCCGGCCCTTCTCGTTCCACTGAATGAACCAGTGGTCGCCGCGCAGTCCGTCGATCCACCGCTTCACCAGATAGTCGCCGCCCTCCTCCGTGATCTCGGCTATGGGCAGCCCGAGCGACTGCATCCGCGCGTTCTTGGCCACCTCTTGGTGCAGCTTCTTGAACTGCTTCTCCGACTCCTTCCGCGGCACCTGAAGACCACCCCACCACGGACCGACAGCAACGAGTGACGAGTTTGCGGGTTATAATTAATCTCTTAATCTCTTCAAAAAAAGAAATAAATAAAGGAATTAATAAACATATATGCATGAATCTTCAGTAAACAAATAAAATAAGCATGTAATAATATTAATCGATTATAAATTTTAAAAAGAGGAGATCGTGGCGTTACCTTGAGGGCGAGGATGTTGCCGTCATCGTCTCTGACCCTGAACACAACGCCGGCGTGGCCATCATCGATTCGGCGTAGGATGGTGAGCTTCTGTTGCTTCTCAGGGGTGTGCACTACCTGGCCCGCCTGCCACTGTTCGTAGTCGCGCCCGAGCCGCTTTCGCGGATCCTCCAGGTACTGCTGGTTCATGGCGTTCTTCATCTGCTCCGCGATCTCCTTTTGCTTTTGTCGCCTCTCCCTCTCCCTCTCGTGGCGTTCGTGACGTTCCTTCCTCCTCTTCCGCCGCTCCAGGTCCTCATCGCTGGCCGTGGTCGTCGTGTCTGTGGCTACGATTCCTCCCATCGGCGACGGGGCTTGGGGCGAAATCGTCGTTTCCTCATCGCCCACGAGGCCGATCCCTCCCTCCTCCTTGGCTGGATGATCGTCGTCGCATTTCATCTTTTCCATATTATTCTTCTCTTCTCCTGCTGCTGCGATGTTGGTCATCTGCCGGCCGAGCTCTTGGTGGTGGGCAATCTCTCTCTCTCTCCTCTCTCGAATGAATGGAAGCGCGTAGCGAACGATCTCCCTTCTTTTCGGGTAACGTGCACGCAAGGCAACACAAAACCCGATGTGTGGTCGTTTCCGTAGGGCTGATGGTCCGGCGCGAGCGCGGAACGTGTGGTGAACTTGGCGAGCGAGCAGGAGCTACAGCAGGGCCGGACAGCAGCTTCACCCTTCGTCTCTCCGACCGTCGCACAACAGCTCTCTTCTCCGTTTTATGTATTTGTTTGGGTTTTTTTTGATTTATCGCTTGCTGTCGGCCGTCACCGCCGACAACCGTTGCCACGCAGAGCGGAGGAGCACAGCCACGTCAGCAAGCTCGCGAGCACAAGCCTTGCACCACAAGGATGGGACATCTAGATGCATTTCAAAAGAAGGGGGTCTTCGGTGAAACGTGACACGGTTTGAAATCACAAATGTCGCGTGAGATGAGCAGCAGCACGCAAGGGCTACTGGTGGACTCTCTGCCTGGGCGGCCGCCCTGCTCTCGACAGTCGAGCAAGCCAGGCGCCTGGCGCTACTCGATGCCATCCGACTCAAAGCCGCCAGCCCCCAGTTCCTGCAGGTTTCACTTCTCACCCCCCCCCCAATGCATTTCATCTTCAAAGCGGGCCTCACACAGGCATGCGTGGCACCACAGGAAGAGGAGCAGTCGTCTCGTCTCCTCCAGCTGCCTCGCGAGCTGCTCTTCGCAGTGCTGGCATGGGTACCCGCCATTCAGACCCTGGCCTGCGTGCGTTCTACGTGCAGCGCCCTGTTCGTGGTCGTGGAAGCCAGCGGAGCGCTGCACGCCGCGCTGATGACCCACCTCGCGGCCCACACCCGCGCACTCGTGGCCCAGCACACGTCGCCGCCACCACCGCTGACGCTGGTGGATGGTACCACCGACGCCAAGGCCACGGCTCGAGTCAAGGTCGCGGCCCAGGCCCTGCGGGCTGCGGTGGAGGTCGGCGCGAGGCGAGTGCCGGCCGAAATCCTCCACGAGCTCCAGCAGTCCTTCGACCCGCAGTTGCCCCGTCACAAGTGCTTCATTGCCGCGCGTGGCGAACAACCTGCCCGGCGCGCTCTTCGTTCTATCAGGTGCGGCCTCCCGTCGCACGCTGATCGCACGACACTCCTTAAACATGGCGCATATCGTGTGTGTGGATATGTTGGCGCGTGTGAATGTGCAGAGGGACTATGGGACGAGGTCGTCGCGGCGGCCTTTGCGACGGAGCTCACCTGGGGTCCACGCCACAACCAGAAAAGTGGCCCCGTTGCAGATGAAAGGCATACCGTCACGCGCGACGCGTGGTCGGGCGTGAGCACGCTCCAGCTGGGGCCGCTGAAGCACATCACCACCGCGCAAGAGCTCGACGACGCTTTCGCTAAACTGCCCCCACCCGCACCGGCGAGGCGACCCAGCAGCTGCGACGTCCGGATACGAGCGAGGTGCTGCGATGGTTTGCCCAACTGACCTGCGCCGCCGCTCCGTTCATGGTGTGGCAAGACACCACGTTCCAGGTTCGCTCCCTCCACTCTCTCACTTTCTTTCGATGTGCCCCTCAAAGGAAGGAAGACCATCTCACAACCGCAATCGGTGCGTGGTAATGTGCTGGCTTGCAGTCCCGCCGTGGCCCCGGAAAGGGAGAGCAGCGCTTCGTTCTTGTGGGCGCGAGGACCATCTGCATCTTCCAAACCGAGTACCTCTCCAGTGCCTGTGGCGGTCCCTACTCGGGCTTTCGCTGCGGCAGGGGCTGACGTCCTGACTGTCTGTTATTTTCCTTTTTTTAAGATTTTAATTCTTTATTTTAGAAACAACATCATCATGTCCAATGGAAAAGAAATTTCTATTCCCTTTCCCTTTTTCCCTTTGTCCAACCATGGAAGAACATCAAAGGCCAAGGCAAGAAGAAAAAAAAACGGGTGGTTTGTGCAGCCAAAGAACGTCATGTGTGCGCTGGGCGGGGTGCAGGCCAACACCGACGCCAAGTGATTAGGAGATAAGAACGACAGCTGTGGTTCACATTCCTTGAATGGGGCTGCCGTAGGGCGGAAATTTCGCCACTCGGCGCCCGCTAAAGCCTGAAGCAGCCGTGTAAGCACTTCCTCAATGCAAGTGGAAAAAGTGTGGCACTCCATGCAACTCCGCTGTGCCAGGAGGAGCAAGATGGCCTCCATGCACAGATCTTTAGCCTTGCTGTGCCTACTCGCGCTCGGTCTTGTGTTTGCGTACTACAGGCGTACTGCACTGTACAGGCACTCCCCCTCGTTGGTGTGCATCTCCCTCTCCCTCTCCCCCTCTCTCCCTCTCTCCCTCTCTCCCTCTCTCCCTCTCTCTCTTTCCCTTCATTTTTTACAGTTCCCCCATCCGCGTTCTCTCCTTAGTTCTCATAACCAGCCACCAACAGCAGGACGAAAGATTCTTCGCTGCGGAGTTCGATGACTCACCAGAAGCAGAGGAGATCGAAAGCGACGCCGAGGTGCGGCCGCACGAGGCGCGAACATACGAGTTGCGGCCGTACGAGCGGCGTGGACTCAAGCGATCGGCCGACCACCAGCCTAGCGAGTTCTTCCGCGAGCAGGTGGCCAAGCCGCTGCCGTGGGAGTGGGACCTGCGCCACCTCACCGCCCACTCCTTCCCCATCACCGCCTCCTCTCCGTCCTCCGCCACAACCGGTGCGTGTGGTGCTGGACATGTCTGCCGTGGCACGCACGCACGCACGCACGCACGCACGCACGCACGCACGCACGCAGTACAACACGTCGGTGCTGACTCTGATCTCTGACACGAAACTGCAAGAGCAGGAGGGCGGTGGCTCCGGGATGTGGCGAGCCTGGACGACCTCATGGCCAAGTACGCCGTTCTCCACCAGCGCATCCTCAGCGGCGAGCTGCCCCCGCGATACGTGGTGTTCGTGAGCAACCCCGAGTACGGCTACGGCAACAGTACGCATGTCTTCAGTCCTTGACTTCACGCTTTCTTCTTCGTTCTTCGTTCTTCTTCGTTCTTCGCTGACTCTCTGGCCGTGTCTCTACCAGGATTCAGGTGCTGGTGTCGACCTTCGTTTTCGCTCTTATGTCGGAGCGCGCCATCCTGAGTACGCGGGACTGCCACTGCCTTGTTCTCCTTGCGCTGCTATGCCGCGAGTGTGTGTGCATGTTAACTAGTTTGGTGTGTGCGCTATGGACGTAGTTGATTGGCCCCAGTCGCTCAACGTGCAGATAGCGCACCGAAAGGACTTCAAGGGTGCTGCGCCCATGGTGGCCAACCTCGACCACCGCGATCTGTTCGAACCGCCGCCCGGCGTTCAGTGGGACCTCACCGCACCGCTCCGCTCCCGATTCACGAAGGCTCAGCAGGCCAACGCCGTGCGTCTCTTTTCCCCACAGGCCTCCCCGTATCATTACCACCTTACACCCCTGGCCCTCGCTCACCCGCCTCGCCCCGCGCACACCTCATAGACTAAGCGATTCCGGGAATTCCCCACCGTCGGCGTGTGCGAGGACCTGTACGAGTGGGAGCACGATGTCGAGTGGGTCTACATCGCCGGCTGGGACTACTTCGCGACGTTCCTGCTCAACAACGACTACCACGACAACGTAAACCGGGTGCTCAGGCCGTTCCACGACCAGCTTCTCTATGTGGTGGCCAACGCGCTGCGCATCATCCACCCGACGCTCAGCATCAAGTCGGCGACGGAGAGCGTGCGCGATCGCCTCTTCGCACCCTACAGGTACCGCGCAGGCCTCTTCTCGTTACTACATTTTTGATATTCTTTGGCAGAATGCGACAAGGTGCTTACCACCAGTGGGCAGGAATGAAGGAATCCTGGGCATTCATCTGCGAACCAGCCACCCCGAGATCCCTGTCACCCCATCTCTCATAGTACCCGCCCCCTTTTTTTCGGCGGAAGATGTGCCGATTGACTCATACGTCCAATGGGCGCCTGGAATGTGCAGGTCCAGATGATCCGCTGTGGGCTGACCTCGGGCTACAAGGTGTGGTACCTGGCCACGGAGGACAAGATATGGTACAACAGGTTCGCCGAGCTTCTTCGCCAGCACGATACCGGTACGACGTCCAGTTCAGCCCTCCCTCCTCCCAATCCACCTCACACATGGTCTGTTGTTTGTGTCGACACTTAACAGGGCTTGCGGTCGATGACTTCGGTTCTCTGAGTGGAACCGATAGGCCGGAGCCCCGCCGCCGGGTGAAGCTCCTCTTCCTCGATCGCAACGTCACGAAGCGCAACAGCATCGAAGGTGCCGGCTCACTACGCAATGACAGCATTGCCTACGGCCCTTTCTCATAGTGACTCTGCTGCTGGTGGTGCTGGCATCCGTGTGTGACTGCAGGGGCGAGGAACGCGTTGAGCGATATGTTCCTATTGACGGCGTGCGACGACTTCATGATGCTGTGGGGCACCACGTTCGGTCGCCTCGTGTCCGCCATTGGCGGATTCAAGGTGAACTTCCCCCGGCACTGCCCATATGTGACAAACGAGCCCGGAGCTGACGAACTAGGGGCGCTGTGAGCAGGAGCCGATCACAGTGATGAAGCATCAGCAGTTGTGCGTGCGCAAGCTCACGTCAGAGCCATGCATTTACACATGGGACCAGCTCCAATCGTACGCGGGCCGCCCACTATTTCATTCACATCCACCACCCACACATTTCACATCTCTGTCGACCGTGTGCGTGTGCGTGTCGCGTGCAGAGCACCGTGCTACAGTAACTCAATGCAGCTGCCCTCCATGCTCTACTCCTCCGATGCGCCTTGTCGCGAGTTCTGAGCGCACTACCACATAATCCATTACGCGCAACGAGGAAGCGTTCCTCCGACCCACCACACTCCCGGGATTATTTATTATTTATTATTTATTTCGCACTACCGCACGAGGCGCCCTATCCTTCTACACTCGCGTTGGTCACCAAACCTTCTTCTGGGTTCTGCTTCTCGGTCCGCTGGATCTGCTGCTGATGCGGACACCACGCAAAAAGAGCAACGACCCAAGCAGGGCGGTTGTCATGTGCGTAGTTCCCTTTGATTTATGTTTCATATTTTTTTTCACCTTTTTTTTGTGATAGTGGATTGGTCGGCATATTCCTTTTTTAGATATACCAACTGCATATTCCTTTTTTAGATATTTGTGATCCAAAAAGAACGCGTCGGAAACAAGAACCGGCCAAGGTGCCAACTGTTGTTGCCCTCAGTCGTAGCCCGTAGAGACAGCAGCCTCAACCGCAGCCGCCCACCGCTCACACCCAACGACGCCGTCCATGGGGCCCAGGAGGATTCATGTGGTCATGCTGACCCTGCTGGCCATCTTCAGCGCATCGATTATGTTGGTGTCCTTCAGCCCCAGCCTCGCCGTGGTACCTTCGTCCCTTCCCCCCCAACAGTTGAACAAGAAGGAGGGGCCTAGAATAACCTCATCATAATCATCATCAACAACAATTAATGTGTTCTTGTCTTGAACAACAGCACAATGGCGTCCGAGGTGGAGGTCGTTGGATGACGTTCTCGATCGTTGGGGGAAATGACATTGGCGAGGACGGGTCTGACAACTTCCGACGATGGGAGCGCGACCACGCCAAGCGGGAGCTGCTGGCCCCGCCCGATGGCGGCTCCGGGCTGGCCGAGCTGCGGCCGCACGAGCGACGCGGGCTCAAGCGCTTCGCCGAGGTACAGACGCAAGACTTTCGCGACCACTTCGTCAAGCCCCTCCCCTGGGAGTGGAACCTGAGACACCTCACCGACCTCACCTTCCCCATCACCCTTCCACAAGTCAATGATGGTTCGCAACTCCCCCCCCCCAATCAACCCCAATTCTCTCCTTCTTTTCCTTCTTCCTCTACTTGCTTTCAGACATCATCTTCTTGTTTCCTCTTCTGGGACTCAAAACAATCGTTTGCCTGAACGAACAGGGAGGAGGTCGCTACAAAACGTCACGAGCCTGAAGGACCTCATTGCCCAGTACGCCGTTCTCCACCAGCGCATCCTCAACGGCGAGCTGCCCGCCCGGTACCTCGTCTTCGCGGCCAGCCCGGAGTACGGCTATGGCAACAAGTGCGTAGAAACCCCACCACCATCTCCTTCTCTCCACTCTCGACCACAGCTCATCAAAGACACTTCACTGCAGGATTCAAGTGTTGGTCTCGACCTTCGTGCTCGCCCTCATGTCCGAGCGCGCCATCCTGGGTACCCCCACCGCCCCACCACCCCACCGCCACCCCACCGCCACCCCACCGCCACTACCACCCTTTGGAGAACGTAGGCTCACCCCGAGGGATGTTGTTGGGTGCAGTGGACTGGCCGGAGGCGGTGGACGTGGAGATCTCGCGGCGGAAGGACTTTGTGGGTCCTCCTCCGCGCGTGGCCAACATCGACCATCGGGAGCTCTTCACCCCGCCGCACGGCATCCAGTGGGACCTCGCCGCCCCGCTCCGCGCCCGATTCCAGCGCGCCAGCGCCACCAATACTGTGCGTCATCTGATCGCAACACCCGACATAAGAGCCTGGCTGACACCCGGTTGGTGCATGTGCGTGTGGTTCTGTGGTGCAGACCAAGAAATTTTCGGACTTTGCCGGGGCGGGCGTGTGCGAGGACCTGTACGAGTGGGAGCGCGATGTCGAGTGGGTCTACATCGACCACTGGGACTACTTTGCGACGTTCCTGCTCAACAACGGCCACCACGACAACATCAACCGTGTGCTCAGGCCGTTCCATGACCAGCTGCTCTACGTGCTGGCCAACGCCCTGCGCGTCATCCACCCGACGCGCGACATCAGGCACACCACCGAGAGCATGCGCGACCGTATCTTCGGACCCTACAAGTACGTTACCACCAGCGACCTAGCTTCATTCTTCAAAAAACAGACGCGGTGGCTGACCTCCTGTGCCACGCACACTACAGAAACGAAGGAATCCTGGGCATTCATCTGCGGACTACTCACCCAGAGATTCCTGTCACCGATGAACTGATGGTGCGCAGCCCTGGTCCCACCGGGCCATCGCCCTGTTTGATGCGCTGACGCCCCCCCTCTCTCCTATCGACCCACCACCACACAGATTCAGATGATCCAATGCGGGCTGGCGTCGGGCCACAGGGTGTGGTACCTGGCCACGGAGGGGAAGGAGTGGCGCGAGAAGTTTGCCCTGCTGCTGCGACAACACGACACCGGTACGACTGCGCGGGCACTCCCCAAAATCTCATCGGATCAGATGTTAACATCAATGGTGCGCGCAGGGCTGACGATCAATCGGGGAGGTGGGCGGGAGTCGAAGCGGCGGGGCGTGAAGCTGCTCTTCCTGGACTCGGACGAGATCGAGCGCAACAGCATTGAGGGTACGCCGCATCCAGCCTGCCAGTCGACTACGAGTAGTTTAATTTATTGTCTCACTGCCTTTCTTTCGGTTGGAAAAAACAAAACGCAGGGACGAGGAATGCGTTGAGCGAGATGTTCCTGTTGACGGCGTGCGACGACTTCATGATGCTGTGGGGCACCACGTTCGGTCGCCTCGTGGCTGCCATTGGCGGGTTCAAGGTATACTTCCTCGTCTTCTTCTTCTTGAGGAGATCATCAGCTGGGGAGCGCTAACGACATGACATGGTGGTTTGTGGGAGCAGGAGCCGATCGCCATCATGAAGAACCGGCGAGTATGCGCGCGCAAGCTCATGTCGGAGCCGTGCGTCTACGTCTGGGACAAGCTAAAAGCGTACGACAAGCCACCCACCACAGCCCCTCAAGTCCCGTAGTCCTACACCTGCATTCAGAGCTTGCATTGAGCGTAAGCGTCGTCGTCGTATATTTCTGTTGTGCAGAGCGCCCTGCTACGACCACTCGATGCAGCTGCCTGCCATGATCTACTCCACCGATTCACTCTGTCGCGAATTTTGAGTTGCAGCCGTCAGTCAGCTTGACTGCTGCACCCCCCACGAGGCCCACCGCAGCACCACCACCCACGAAGAAATGAACGTGCGTGCGAGCGTGTGGACCTCACTACACTACACACCGCACACCACACACCACATCGCAACACCCACACACCACTACTCATTACCTCCCCCTCTATTCCCTCTCTACCAACACGAGACTGAGGCCACGGCGAAACACATGAAGCACACGTGTCACACCTTTGCCTTGAATGAACATAGTCCCCTACTCCGCATATGAGCCTCGCATACGCAACATATTCGTGTTTTTCCAACACAACCATACACGACTGGTCATCAGAGGCGCTTAGAGAGAGGGCGTGTTGAGGACGGGGCCGGGCGGCAGGGGCCGGGCGACGGGCAGGATCTGGTCCATGGTCTGCGCGTCGTAGAGGCGGCCGTCGAGCATGACGTACTTGACGTCGCGCGCGAACGACGTGTTGGTCAGCGGGCTGCTGGCGGCGTCGAAGAAGATCAGGTCGGCCAGCTTGCCCGCCTCCAGCGAGCCCAGGCTCTTGTCCAGACCCAGCGCCCTGGCGCCCGCTGTCACCGGCAAACCGGTGAGCACCTGCGCGCGCGGGGGGGAATTGGAGTGGTGCCCGTACCCATCGTGGCGGTGTAGAGCACTTGGTAGGGCGTCAGACCGCCCTGCTCCATCATCAGCATCTCCCAATGGAAGCCGATACCCTGCGCCGCCGCACACGCCGCACATGCCGCACACGCACACGCCGCACACGTCAGAGAGCATCATTCATGGTATGGCAAGAATGAAGAGAGATGGAAATCACAGGTAGCTAGGGTACCTGCTGTTGGCCGTGGGCGCCGGTCTGGACGAGCCCGCCGGCGTTGAACACGGCCGCGACGGACTTGGCGGTGGAGAAGTGGTGGTAGTCCCACGGCGCCTGGGCCTTCTCCCGGCGGAGCGACCGCGCCATGACCGGCGCGTTGGGCGCGAACCGCATGAGCCGCGGGTCCTCCCACACGTTCGTCGCCTGGTACCAGTACTCCTCGCCCCAGAGGCCCCCGTAGTTGACGATGAGGGTCGGGGTCCAGGCCGTGCCGGACTGGGCGAACAGGGTCACCACGTCCTTGTAGAGCGGGGCCATGGGCAGCGAGTGCTCGATGGTCGTGTGGCCGTCCACGATCTGGTTCAGGTTCCAGTAGAACATCATCCCGCCCTCCGGCACCACGTCCATGCCCAACTCGCGCGCAGCCTGTTTCGTGTTTCGTGTTTCGTTTGGTTTGTAATGTTAGCGTTTGCGTTTGCGTTTGCGTTTGCGTTTGCGTTTGCGTTTGCGTTTGCGTTTGACGAGTGGGGGAGTACCTGGAGGAGCTGCTGGCGGGCGGCGCGGCACGGCTGGTTGTAGGACTTGGCCGAGAAGGCGCCGTAGGCCTTCAACCGCCGCAGCGCCGTTCGCGCGTCCTCGATGCTGTCGATCTCGCAGTGCAGCGGTCCGCCGCCGCCGTAGATCACCGTGCCCTGCCCACCCATCGCCATCGGTCGGCAACACGGCCCGCATGACACGACACGACACAACACAACACACGACACGCGCGGGAAAGTCACAGCGGTGGGGGCCGTACGGTGCTGAAGATGCGCGGGCCGATCTTCTTGCCGCTTTGGACCAGCTCGGCATCCGAAAACACGGCCCTGCACGAACCAATAATTAAGTAATAATAAAAAGTAATAATGAAATGAATAAAAATAAGAAGAAAAAGATATAAGAATAAAAATAGAAGATATATAATGCGTGCGTACTCGGTGTCGGCAGACGGATTGTGGAGGGTCGTCACGCCAAAGGCCAGATTGGCCAGGAACTCCCAGCTCTGCTCCACGAACCAGTCGCCACCACCGGCCCAGTGGGCGTGGACGTCGATGAATCCCGGCAGCACCACGGCGCCCGCCATGTCTCTCGGCTCGGCGCCAGCCGGGCACGGGACGTCGGTCATAGGACCCAACTACACGCAATAATCAGTGTCGCGTGTGCGTGTGCGTGTGCGTGTGCGTGTGCGTGTGCGTGTGCGTGTGCGTGTGCGTGTGCGTGTGCGTGTGCGTGTGCGTGTGCGGTGAAAAAGAGGAAATAAAGCAGAGGCGGCGTACGGCTTGGATGCGCTCCCCGTTGACGACGATGCGGGCATCAGTGATGACCGACTCCGGCGTCTGGTTGGGCGTGGCCATAGTCACCAACGTCACCTGAAGACAAGATTACAAAAGAAAATGTGAAATGTCGAGTGAGCCGCAAACAAACACCGCGCACACCGCGCGACCAACATCCATGCGTACGTTGTCGAAGCACACGAACGTGGCAGCGGTGCCGACAGTCGCCTGGAAGCTGAGATCGTAGGCCGTGGTCTTCCCCTTCACGCAGTCAAAGTCCATGTTGTCGCACGCCAACGCCTGGCCACACCCATCACAACCAACCAAGCAACCAACGTTAGTGAGAGCGATGATGGCGGTGAGCGACGTGCCTGCTGCGTAGAGACGCGGTAGGCTTCGGAGGCGTGGATCCAGAGTAGGTCCCACTTGCCCTCGCCGTTCTTGGCCCAGGTCACGTAGTGCAGGCCGTTGGCCGACGCGCGCTGCAGGCGCGACGGCTGGTGGCCGGGCCTGGACGACACCGACACCGGCTTCTTCTCGCCTGCCAGCAGCGCCCACTCACCATCAGATGACGAGACCACTTGAGCGCAATGCGGGCGTACGGGCCGACCTGTACCGTCGAGCGGGGTGACGTAGAGTTGGTAGAATTCGGTGAAGGCGACGACGCTCTCGTCGGGCGCGACGTGCAGGGCCGACGCGTACTTGCTCTGGGCGAGCACCTGGGCCTTGCCGGTGGCGATCTCGATCTTGACCAGCTGGACCTGCGGGTAGTACCCGCGCTGGACCAGCACCGACTTGCCGTCGGCCGAGAACGACGGGCTGTCGCCGCTGGCGGTCAGCAGGCTCGACGTCCACCCTGTCACAACCGTCAGGAGCGACACGCACGAAACGCACGACACGCACAACACACGACACACGACACACACGACACACGACGCACGACACGCACAACGCACAACACACGACACGCACGGCACACACGGCATGATCGAGAGAGTGACTACCTTGAGCGGTCTTGGTGGCGATGTAGATTCCGGCATTGCGGGAGTACTGGGATCCGCTGAGGGAGTCGCCGCCATAGCGCTGGTAGACCAGCTTATCGTCGTCCACGGGCGAGAACTTGGGGAATCCGTAACGCCCGGTCGGCAGCGCGAGATTGCTCACCTCGCCCACAGCGCCGGTCTGGAGGTCAATTGCGACGATCTGGATGGTGGAGAGGGTGACGTCGTCCCAGAGCACGTGCACGATCTGGCTGCCGTCGCGGTTGAACGACGGATGAAACTCGAACGCGGCCGTCTGCGCGGGCAGGAGTTCCCTGGCGGCGCCCGCGGGCAGCGATTTCCCTGCCACGCACGCACGCATGAGTCCCAGAGACCAGCGCGCGCAGGAGAAGGGAAAAAAGAGGGGACGGCAGGGCACAGCCGTACAGTAGGTCTTGCCGAGGGCGGTGTAGGCGACGTAGTTCTGGTTCAGCACCGTCACAAACGAGGCCCAGTTCGACACCTTGACGCCGAAGGTCGTATTGGGTCCGGCCGAGTAGCTGCAGCAAACCAACAAAATAAGTATAACTACTCGTTATTTATTTATTTATTGAGATAATAATAATAAAATAATAATAAATAATTGTAATAAAAGAAAGAGAATATAGTGGAGTTGGTGGAAACAAGTACGTCTCGGTGAGGTCGACGCTGGTTCGCACGGTGTCGGCGACAGGCAGCTCAACGTTGATGGTGAAGGGGACGTCGGTGGCTTGGCCAGTCGCAAGGTTAATCCTACACCGGGAGAGAATTACTTTACACGTCAGCACACCGACAGCATCGCTAAAATGTGCTCCAAAAGAATGAAGGGCAATAGGAGGGAGCTGCTGGGTGCCCAACCTGGCAAATTTGCCGCCCTTGACCCAGATGAGCACCTCGGCGTCGTTGTTGATGAAGGCGAAGCTGGGGTAGATGCCGCACGGGGCAGACGACTCCTGCTGATCAAAATCCAACAGCCTGTACACGATCTTCTCGTTGCCTGCCCCGCCACGTCAGTAGGAATTAATATTGAATCACGCGCGTCGTGTGCGGTGTGTGTTGTGCGGCGTGTGTTGTGCGGCGCGTGTGGCGGGTACCGGTCTCGAGGTCCTTGACGACAAGGGTCGTGTTTTCGTAGATGCGGCGGATGAAGGCGAGCGTCTTGCCATCCTTGGACAGAACGGGGCGAGCAGCCTGCGCAGAAGTTGGGGGGTGGGGGGGGGTGAGCACACAGGGCTGTAGTGGTCCGGGACAACACTGCGCGCGTGGAGGCCGAGCGCACCCCTCCGGGACCGCCAGCGAGTTGCTCCGAGGCCTTGGTCGACAGGTTGAGCCTGCTGATCGCGAAGATGCCGGCGTGCGGGTCCTTGTTGTAGTTCCAATACGTCGAATCCCTCTCGTTCTCACTGTGTGTCGTGTGTGCGGTGTGTGTGTCGTGTGTGTGTGTGTGTGTCGTGTGTCGTGTGTCGTGTATGTGTGGGGGCAAGGGACGTAAGCATTCATTGAATTCCTCCAGTGGGGAAGTGGAGCTGGTGGTGGTGTCGTGCCTGTAGTAGACGAACTGGCCATCGGGCGAGTAGAAGGGCTCCTGGGGGCCGATCTGGGAAGAGGGCGTGACGCGCCCCACGAGCCGCTCGCCGCCATCCTTCTTCACGCCGCCGACGGGGTACCGCCAGAGCTCGCCGGCCGGAATCGACCGGGTGGACGTGTACCACTGTGCGTGTGCGGTTGTGTGCGTGTAAGCCATTGCCACGTCAAAGGGGAGAGAGAGGAGGCGCTGAACCTTGACGGCCACGAAATAATTGCCGTCGGGTGCCCACATGGCATTGCTGGTGGGCAGGGTGGGCACGCGCGCAGGGTGAGCACCACAGGTCAGCTGGAGAATCGAGCAGGGCCGGGGTGCAAGCACCTGAGCGAATGGAAGGGCTCCTCGGTCAGCTGGCGCGAGGTGGAGGTCGCCAGCTCCATCTCCCACACGTTGTCACAACCCGACAGATCGCTGCACAGCCGATACAGGGTACGCAGCCGTAAGTAGAGCCAGAAGAAGAACAGATGATGATGATATGATGATGATGATGATGATGATGATGATGATGATGATGATGATGATGATGATGATGATGAGAGTAGGTGGTGGTCGTGCCTGGTGAAGATGATCTTCTTGCCGTCGGGCGAGTAGCGCGCCTGGCTTTCGAATGCGGCGCCACCCCGCAAGAGAGATGCCACGCCACCCTGACCATTAATGAATCATCATCACCGCCATCATCATGAGTGAGTCGGCCGCCATCGTTGCGCAGCACACATGAGACTGGGGGGCTGGCGCGCATACGGCGATGGGCAGGGTGTAGATGTCGCCGAGGAGGTCGAACAGGATCTGCTGGCCGTCGGGCGAGACGTCGATGTTCATCCACGTGCCTTCGTTGGTGGTGAAGGAGATCGTGCGCGAGTGGTTGGCCGTAACGCTCCACGGCGCGTACGGACCCAGCGGGAAGTCGTTCGTGCTGTCCTCCACGTTCGGCACCTGCACATATTTATTTATTATGATGTTTATTTATTATATATTTATTTATTATATATTTATTTATTATGTTCTAAAAGAAATCGTGTAATTATTATTTTATTATTATTTTTATTATTTATTTATTGTAATGGATTGTGGCAGGACGGGGCGTACGGGACAAGGGGTGGGGTTGGTAGAGGGCGAGGAGTCGTCCTGGCTGGTGGCGAGAACGATGGTGGCGATGAAGAACGCCAGGCAGGCCACGCCAAGCACGACCACCAGTCCGACCATGAGACGCCACCGCGTGAGCCATCTGCGCAGGCCGTGCTGGTCGTAATCGATTAGCGTGCGTCCGCCGTAGAGGGGCCGCTCCTCATCCAACATCTTCTTCTTCGACCTCGGCTGTCTCCTCTTCTTCTGTCACGCCGACACTGACTTTGTCGATCCCTTTTTCTTTTGGTCAAATTATTTTGCACTTTATTATTTATTTATTATTTTACTCCCAGCGTTTCTATTGGGTGCGAGTGAGCCAGTGCGGGAGCGACACGTGAGCGCATTCCGCAGTCCTAGGGGTTGGTTAATTGGTTGCAGGACAGGGCTCATGAACGTACTCACCAACTACAACCCTGGTCGCCTACGAATTTCGACTGATTATTTGTTCGCACGATGCTGATCCGGGTTGTGGGCGAGCTCACAACAAAAAGCAGAGGTACCCTCACACCGCTTCTTCTTCATCAAGACTCAACACACAGCACACAACACAACCAACAACAACAACGAGATGGCGTCGCAAGAGGGCAAGAGACCGACCGCGTTCCCGGAGCAGATGCAGAGGCACATGCCCGGCTATGAGCACGAGATGGAGCCCGCACCGCAGTACCTGGCGCCCAACTACAAGGGCAGCGAGAAGCTGAAGGACAAGGTGGCGATCATCACGGGCGGCGACAGCGGGATCGGCCGCAGCGTGTCGATCCTCTATGCGCGCGAGGGGGCCGATGTGGTGATCGTGTACCTGCCCGAGGAGCAGAAGGACGCCGACACGACGAAGGGGTTGGTGGAGAAGGAGGGCAGGCAGTGCCTCTGCATCCCCGGTGACCTCAAGAAGTCGGACTTCTGCGACAGCGTCGTCGACCAGACCATCAAGCGCTTCGGCAAGCTCGACATCCTGGTGCGTTCCCCCCCCCCAAACTCCTCTTCTACTTCAAAACAGATTGCTGAAGGTGGGCTGGGTGGATGGTGCAGGTGAACAATGCCTCGTCGCAGTGGGAGTGCGAGAAGATTGAGGACATCACCGACGAGCAGCTCGAGACCACCTTCCGCACCAACATCTTCTCCATGTTCTACATGGCCAGGTACTGCCCTACTCACATTCCTCACGGCCCAACATATACGTGCTGACTTAGAAACCTGGAACGTGAATGGTGCAGGGCGTCGGTCAAGCACATGAAGGAGGGTTCATGCATCATCAACACCACCTCTGTGACGTGCTACAGGGGCATGAAGACCCTGCTCGACTATTCCTCGACCAAGGGCGCGATCACCACCTTCACCTACTCCCTCTCGCAGAACCTTGTCGAGAGGGGCATCCGCGTCAATGGCGTCGCCCCCGGCCCCATCTGGTAAGCCGCTCTGATCCCTCTCGTGCCCACCAACCCCCAAGTGCTCACACCACGGTCTGCGGCCTCACCTAATGCAGGACTCCTTTGATTCCCGCTTCATTCAAGCCCGAGCGTGTCAAGACCTTCGGTCAGGTACGGACATCAGAGCATGGGCGGTGGTCCAGTGGTTCAGACGTGGTCTGATCGCTTGCTTTGGCTTGCAGGAGGACTGCCCGATGGGTCGCGCCGGCCAGCCCGAGGAGGTTGCGCCCTGCTACGTGTTCCTGGCCTCCAACGCCGATTCCTCGTACATCAGCGGCCAAGTGCTGCACCCCAACGGAGGCTCCCCCGTCCACGGATGATGTGTTTGCTCACTGGCGAACAAGAATAAACACTCCCATCAACATCCACAACCTCTCTGTTGCGTGTAGAGCACCACGCTCAACGCACCACAATGTGAGTTGTGGAATTCAAAGCACGCAGAGAAACGAACAACAGATTTCGCAGGATTCACAGACCCTGGTGCAAGCAATCACCAAGACCATTCTTTTGATTCAATCAATCAATTCAAAACTAAGCCACCTTGCCACAAGATCGCGAATGTATTCGAGTTCATTTGATGATGAAGGAGGCTGGTGGTGCTGCAGACTAGATTCCAACTTTCGCCACAGGGTGGGCTCCTTCATTGCAGGCTGCCTTGTGCGCTCCCCCTTCTCCCTTCGTGTGCTCTGTGTTCGTAGATTGAGTCTGCAGCCCCCAATCTGACGATGTCCTCACAGTTTGTAGCAGGGTGGCTGATCTGGATCGATGGCGCCGTGGCTGGCAACCAGTTCAGTGGCTGGAGAGAGCCACCGTGGTATTTCTACTTGCCTGGCTTCATCTCCACCTTCGTTCTTCTCATGTGCGCACCCTCCCCCCCCTTCGAATCTTTCCGCGAGCTGTCGATGCTGACCACCGCTCTTTGGCCACCTTCTTCTTTTGTCACTTCCTCAATCATTGAAGGATGAACATGGTGTCGTTGAACGACATGCACCCGTTCTCGCTCATGTTTTCGGAAGACATCAGCCACAAGGGTACGCCGCCATCCACCAGCCGCCTGAGTGCTCGCTCTGCGCGTCGAGCTACCCACTCCCTCGCGCTGCGCGTCGCTACCGGCCTCACGTCACACACTTGGCGTTGCGTTGCGTTGTGTTGCGTCTGCAGTGCGCGCGTGGCTGTTTGTGGCGTTCGCGATCGGCTTCGGAGCAATCGGGGCGTCCATCTGGATGTGCGTGGACAGCTACCAGCACGAGAGCGGCTCCAAGATGTGGCCTGGTACCCCCAGAACTACACCAGTGATCACCTTCAGCTCACCACCACCATCGTTCTGATTCTCACCAACGATGATCTTTCTCTCGCCACCTTCTTCTTCTTCGTGGTGTGTGTTCAGGCATTTCGCTTATCTTGCAGAACGCCATCATCTTCGCGTCGTCCGTGGTGCTCCTGTTCGCCAGGAAGACTGAGGAGGAGGAGATGATCATGTAAACGCCAGGCCATCGCCTTCTCTTTCCCTTTCTTTTCGCTCTTCGCGGGTCGTGTACATAATCGTCTTCTTCAACAGACCACCACCATCAACACCCTCTTGCTCTTCGCTATCAGTTATTGAATTGATTTTAAAATCGTATAATATTATTATAATTATTTATTTATCTCTTTATTATTCTTTATCATTTATCTCAATATTTTAATTATTATTTTTGCGCGAACCAAAATAAATGGGGAAAGGCGGAGGTAGAAGACGAGGGAGAGGGCGAGCGGGAGGGTAGCTACTTTACCGCTACTGGCAGACGGTCGCCGCTTGCGGGATCGGCCTCTCTGCAATCGATTGGTAATAGACCAGCACATCGCAGGCCTTCGAATTATTCTGAACTCACTCTGGGTATACCACAAGTAGCCGTGGGTGTGGACATGGGAAGTCGGAGGCACATCTCTCCTTCATCAAAAAAACTTCAACAAAAGAAAACAAAAGATTGAAATTTATTAAGAAAAAATCAAATAATAAATAAAACGAAAATTGAACGAAAAAGAGGACTGCGGGCTGCGCCGTCGGGCCTTCGCAACAGAACAGGAGGCAAGAGGACGCAAGGAGCAAGGTAGCAAGATGGTGGCTCATTTCTTTTGCGGATGAGGCAGGATTTTAAGTGATTATGTTGGCGTGCAGGCAGCATGGCAGAACAGAGTGGGCACACGACAGTGGAGGTGGGCGTGTTGACTGTGAGCGATCGAGTGTCGCGCGGGGAGGCCGAGGATCTCAGCGGACCTCTCGCCATCTCCATCATCGAGCAGCACCTCAAGCACGCCAAGGTATGCTCCTCCACCTGTAGTGATTAATAAATATATAAATAAATATATAAATAAATATATAAATAAATATATAAATAAATAAATAAATGCTCTTTCGCAGGTTGTGGCGACCGCTGTGGTTGCAGATGAAGTGGACGACATCCAGCGGGTGCTGAAGGAATGGAGCGATGGACGTAAGCTGCAGCTCGTACGTCTTCCCCTCCTCGCACTCCACTCCTGGGTCTCTCTTACCTCCGCCGGTCCCCAGATTCTCACGACCGGAGGCACCGGGTTCGCGCCGCGCGACATCACGCCCGAGGCCACCAAGGGTAAGCCGCCCCTCCCCCCCCGTCGGCTACGGTGATTTGAAACCGTATTCTGACGGATTGGGACCCAGCGATACTGGACCGGGAGGCGCCCGGGATGGTGGTGGCCATGGTGTCGGCCTCGCTGCAGGTCACCCCGCACGCCATGCTCAGGTACGCGTGGCCACACACACGCGCTCGTGTGTCGTCTGATCAGACCAGGTGGCGCGGACGAAAAACCTGACGGTCCTCGTACGTGCGTGCGTGCGTGTCGTGGGTGTTGCGATGCAGCCGACCAGCCGCCGGCATGCGGAAGCAGACGCTGATTGTCAACCTCCCCGGTAGCTCGAAGGCCGTCAAGGAGGTGAGCACTCGACCCAACCCAATATCTTCTTCGTTCTTCTTCGTTCTTTGTTCTTCTTTATTCGTTCTTCTTTTTATGGCTCACGTTGCCGCTGTGCAGAACATCGACGTGCTTCTCCCGGTGCTTCCGCACGCGATCGGCCTCTTGAGGCAGGACCCTCGCGCCGCGCAGCCTTCGCAGCACCACAAGCTCGACATGAAGTAGAAGCCTCGCCGCCTGGTTTCCACACGGCCTGTCAGAAACAACGCAACAAGCTTGCGCCCTGGGCTTGGGCCGTTCACCTTTTATTTGTGGAAGACGACCCGGAACTCATCGTCACCGTTGGCGTCATCCGAAGCGCCTGCGGCGGACTTGTAGCCATCGAGCACCGTCAGCAGTGGGTCGTATTCGTACAAGTCGTTGTCGTTGCTGTCGGCGTCGCCGCCCTGTGTGTGGCGTCGCGCTGCCGTGCCACCATGGTCGTCCTCTTCGTCCTCCTCCGAGTCGCACAGCTCGTCTTCGCCGTAGACCTCGAAGCTGGCGTCCTCATCGAGGGACGCGTCGTCATCATCGTCGTCGTCGTCGTGGTCGTGGTCGCCATCGCGATCGTCATCACCATCGAAGCAGCTGCCGGGTGCGCGGCGTGGGTCATTCGCATCTCCGGGAAGGCCCCACTCCTCCGCGGGGTCGCCCCTCCGGCGCAGCGTGAACGGAAAGCCCGTCGTTCCCTCCGCCTCGTCGTCGTCTTCGCTGCTCAGAAGCTCCTCCTCTTCATCTTCTTCGTCATCGTCATCGTCGGCGTTGCGAGCGCGCGGATGGTGACGGTCGTGGTGGGGCCGTGTGAGGTCCTCCCGGCCGGCACTGGTCGCGGTCTCGATGCCGGGACCGCATGTGCTCTTCACATCGCTCAGAAACTCGCGCATCTTCTCCGCCACGCTTCGCAAACCTACCGATTGCTTGAGCGCCTACACACGGCACGACACACACGACACACACACGCGCGACAAACGCTCAAGCGTGAGCGCCGGCGCTCCGGTTTGTCACGAATACAAGAGAGGTGGTGCGCGGTACCTTGGGCGACTTGAGGTCGATGACCAGCACCTCCTCGAGCAGGCCCTGGCCGTAGCTCGCCAGCTGCGACAGGAATGACAGTGCCTCGCCCCGGTGCTGCGATGACGGGTCAGACGGCGGCAGGCGCTCTGCTTCTTCCTCCTCATCGTCGCCGCCTGCTGGGCTCGACACAGCGGCCAGCAGACTCCGCATGCATTGCTCCAGCGCTGCGAACACCCGCTTGCAGGCCGCCAGCACCGTTTGCACCCTGGCATCCGCCCCTATTAGCCGCCGTGCCGAGTGCGGCGTGTGCGGAGTGTGCGGCGTGTGCGTGGTACCGGATGGGGTAGCCTGCGCGTTGGGCCAGGGCAAAGGCGGCGACCAAGCGCCGCACCAGGGACAGGTAGTCGAGCGTGAGGCTGCAGATGCCGCCGGACGAGCTCAGCACTTGAGCACGCTCGGCGGTCGCAAGCAGCGACGCGCAATGCCCGCTCACGGGCACCAGAACCCCACTCAAAAACTGTCACCGCACACATGACACGCACGACACACGACACGCACACGCACACGCGCAAGCGCGAAGGTCAGGTGAGCAATGGAAGAAGAACGGAGCGGGCCGCTGCGGACGGAGCGTACGGTGGGCACGCTGCGCTGGTGCATGGACGCGAAGACGTGGTGGTACTCGAGTTCCCTCGTGCACAGGAAGTCGATGAGCGCGAACGTGAGCTCGCGTGCGCACAAAAAATACTGATGCCGTGCGTGTCGTGTCGTGTCGTGTCGTGTCGTGTCGTGTCGTGTCGTGTCGTGTCGTGTCGTGTCGTGTCGTGTCGTGTCGTGTCGTGTGCGGTGACGAGCCATAAATTAGAAAAGCGATGAGAGGGGAGGGGGGGGGGTGAAGGTACCTTGGAGTGCGGGAGCAGAGAAGAAAGGGACCGGAGCAGAAAGGCGACGTAGACGCAAAACGGAACAGCGCCGTCGCTTTCTTGGACTGCCGCCCCGCTCAACCACTTTTCTGCAATCCCCCAGATCAGCGCCAAACATGCGCCACACGCACACGCACCACCGCACACGCACCACACGCACACGCACACGCACCACCGCACACGCACACGCACGAGACGTGATGTGCGGATTTACCTGGCAGTGGCGGGAGTCGACCGAGTGCGAGGGAGCGCGGGAAGGAGGGGAGGAAGTGCATCGACGGGAAGACGGACGAGAGGCCGCGGTAGATGGGGAACGCGATGTACTTGCGCTTGCGGAAGCCGCGGGTGAGCGCGAGCAGGACCTTGATCACCAGTCCGGCGAGGAAGAAGTTCTGGCACTGCGTGAAGAGCTTCGTGAAGTGGGCGTAGAGCGACTCGAGCACCTCGACCGGGCGCGCCTGTTCGTTCGAAACACACCGCACACACCGCACACAACATGCGCGTCAGATGGCGAGTTCGGCTAGCCTCCGCATTTAGTGTGTGTGTGTGTGTGTGTGTGGTACGTTGGGCGTATCGAAGTAAGCGCAGCAGGAGGCGAGCAGAGATGATGAAGATGAAGAGGATGAAGATGGTGGAGGTGGTGATGATGAGGTGGTGATGGTGGTGAGATGGCGAAAGAGGTGTTCGAGAATCTGGTAGAGGGTGGCCAGGGTGTCCATCTTGGCCTTCCACGCATCGAGCGTGGTGCCGATCTCGCGTTGGCCCGCGAGGTCGCTCTCGCGCTTGTTGATGGTCTCGCGGCGATACAGGTGAGACACCTCCAGGCGCAGGTGGTGGACCTCGTCAGACAGCGTGCGGGTGAGCCCGAGCAGGAACGGCACCAACTGCTGGCCCGCATCCTCCACTGACGCCAAGACACCGCCCCCACACGGCCCTTCTGGCGGCGCAACTCTACACAGACATGACACAGAACACATGACACACACGACACACGGCACACGACGCACGCACGACGCACGACGCACAGTCAATTTATGTAATTTATGGGCACAAAGGGGGAAAGGCCGAGTGGAGCATACCGCGCCCGGGTCAGGCCGTGCAGAATAAATAGCGCAAGCCGAGCTGTCAGATCTGTGCACGATGGCAAGTGGGCCACCGACTATTCGTTTTTGGGAGATTAGGGTACACACCACGGGCTCCTTGGGAGGCCTCAAGGCCATGACACGAACCTTGAGCAGGTCAATGCAGGTCGACAGGTCGAGGTGTGGAATCACATCTTCGTACAGCTCGCGCAACGTGACAATGAAGGCGACCGCTATCAGAAGAACGAAGAACGAACGAAGAACGAACGAACGAAGAAGAGCGAAGAAGAAGTCAGCAAGAATCACTCTCACGTATCGCCCACGGGGGCTAGGGCTGGTGGAAGGGCGGGTACCCGGTTGTGGATCCCTCGTCGGCGGCTGCTGCTCCGACTTGGGCGTCACGCGATCGGCCTCTTGCTTGATCGCGCAGCCATTGGCCAATGGTCCGACTTTCTCGCTGCGTGGCGCGACTGCCACGTCGATGGAGTCGGCGGCGCTCGACCTGCCCCGTAGGGGCGGACCACCTGCCGGCGACTCGTCTGTGTCGTCTTGAAGTTCGTCATCACCAGTCTCCAGGTCCTCCGGGCGCACCGCGATTCTCACTCTCTTCTTCGGCCGCGCGCTCTCGGTCTCGGCCTTCGCCTGTGGTCGCGGTCGCGTGAGCGCTAGTGGTCGGCAGGTCAAGATCGCTGGAAGCTCATCAGCGCCGTCCTTCTCCTCATCCGGCTCCACCTTCAGCAGCACGATCCCGTCATCGTCATCGTCGTCCACGACAAAACTCTGCCGCGTATCGGCGCTCGCGCTCAAGCTCGGGCTCGGGCTCGGGCTCGGGCTCGGGCTCGGGCTTGCGCGGACTTGACGGCCACTAGGCGAAGCTGAGCGCTTGACCTTCCGTGGCTGAGGTGGCGGCTCGTCGTTGAAGGCCTCCTCCTCCTCCTCCGACTGGCAGGCCGCACGCAGCTCCTCGGCGGACTTGGCCAGGGCGCGCTCGAAGCCGATGCGCGCCATGAGCCACTCGCCGGGCGTGTGGGCCAGGCGGGAGACGGCGGCGACGGCGGCCGAACGTGGCAGGCTGAGCACGGACGAGCACAGCAGGCAGCCGACGAGCGATGCCAGGGCCAGGCGGACGATCTGGCCCACCCTCGCCTGCCTTCCGCCCTTCTCGTTCGGCGGAAACAGCGCGGCGGCGGCAGCACTCGCCTCACCGCCATCATCGTAGTCGGCCGTCGCAGCCTTAAGCAGGTCAGCGAAGCGCCCTGGCATAGCGAAGCCAATGCTCAGTTTGTCCGCCGCCTGCTGACGAGAATCAAGATGTTTAGACAACGACAAGCTGATAAGCCCACGTGTGTGTGTGTGTGGTGTGTGTCGTGCACCTGTTCTGCTTCGATGTTCGCGGTTTGAAGCAAGGCCAGGTAGGTGGGCAACACTTCGGTCAGGTGCTGCAGCCGGTCCACGAGCGCGACCCAGCGCTGCCGTCGCCGCTGGTCCTCCTCCTTACCCTCACCCTCACCCTCTGCTTCTTCGGCTGCGGCAAGCAGGTGGGCCACGATGTCCTGCAACCCGGCGTGGTCGGCCTGTAGGTAGGCCGCGATCGAGAAGACCACGCTCGGTGGCGGCGATGAGGTCGCGCGGGGCTCGCCGGCGATCTCCGACAGGGAGAGGATCGTTGCCGTCGCCGCCGATTCCTTTCCTCGACCGGAGCCGATGCGCCGTGCGATGTCGGTGGCGGCAGATGGCGGGCGCGTCTCTGTCGGCAAAATGTTGAGGGCTTGTAGATGCGGGATGAGAAAACGACGGCCAATCTGCGCTCGCGATTCCTGCAAGGTGGTTCACAGGTGAGCCAAATTGAGTCCTCGTGTTGTGTGAGTTGGTGTGTGTGCGTGTGTGCGTGTGTGTGCGTGCGGTGTGCGGTGT